AGTGAAAATTAATCTAATAACGCACTTCTTAATCCCAACGCAGGAGTTGCTTGCCTGTCTCGCCCCCCCCCACTTTTCCAGGCGAGGTGTTTGCAAGGACTATTATGTATTTAATTGAGATTGCACCTGAGAAAGAGCAAGAGCGGAGTGGCACCCATAACAGAGCTGTTGAAGTTTTCGCTTTGACAGGTCAATTGTCTAGCGTTGTCTGTCCCCCGGTGTTCTGTGGGTCTCCAATACAGCCTGTAGTTGTAAATAAAAAAGAATAATCCTCTATATTCTAGTGTGATGTTCCCACATTGGCGAACTAGATGTATTTAGGGAGATCGTCAGCAAGGTATGGGAACACTGATACCATTTTCTTCGTCATCCCCTGCAATTCTTATTGAGGGATGTACCCTTTATGGCAAGGGCAGGAATTATATCTCCACAATGACTAATAAGCTAAGGATATCCTCCTTGAATTTATGTGATCTCCATTTTAGAACTCCTGAAATAGTGGGAATGGCTACATTTTGTGGACAATATACTCCTCAATCCATCTAATTCAACTTGCAAGTACTTTTTAAAATACTGTATGTCTACTGTCAATCTTTTTTTTTTCACTCTCTTCTGTGAAGAAGGCATGCCACATATGTTGAATTGAAAGTTGCATTCCTAACATTTCTTTATTCCAGTTTTCTGCATTCATCCTAGAATATGCAGAGCATGTACTTAATGTTGCCTCTGTAGCTGTCATTGGGATCACCTGGATTGTATGGGATATGCAACTGTGTTGTGTTCATTTGCATTTAAGACAACTTGGGATGTGGCCTGTATCAATATGTGTCCTTGGTTCTACAAGGCATTGCTTAGCACTGGTTATTTTATTTACAAATGTTACTGAAGAGCAGGACATTACATTAATAATGGAGCAGATGTGTATTCTCCTGGACAGTGATAGTAGGGCTGGTGAGGGATAATTCCATCAAGGATCTTTTTAGGTGACAAAGAGCGAGGGTTTGGCCTGATAATTCCATCCTGATTTGCAAATTGGACCCAACAGGGAGATCTGTTTGTTCAACACATTCTTGCCTCATTGCCTATTTTGTAAGTCACCCTTCCTCCAGCTATGCTAAATACCTTAACTGTTCTGATGCTCAAGGACACCCTGACTTGAGCTTAGTTTAAGTTCTACCTCATTACCCCTGCAAAGCCCTTAATTCTCCCTATGCATTTGTGTTCTTCTGGGCATTCCTGTATCTGTATCTAAGAGCTGTAAGTAGTGGGTGTGTTGAAAAGACTGTTCTGCTCAAGCATTTGTCTGCCCACAGAACTACAAATTCTTGTTTCCTCTGATGGAAATTTTATTTTTATTTTATTTGCACTGATTCACATTTGGTTTTCAGTGTGCAAAACCAGTCTAAATCACTGCTCACTCCAGCTGTATGTTCTATATAACTAGCCCTGCCATATGGCAAAGTGTGATAGCCACTTCCAATACCAGAGGTGGGATATAACATTGTGATGATGTCCTGGCTGTTGATGCCGAGACCCCTGCTGTTACCCCTCTTCTGGGAAGAGCTGTGTATGCCACATGGCTTGTCCTGATCCCCAGACTGGCCCACTGCCCTCTGGTGTGAAAGAAGATGCTGTTCTGTAATTAGTTTAGAAATGACAGGTGAGAATACTAGTAGGTGGGAGATGATGGGGCACCCTCGCTAACCATTTCCTTCTGTTGGAGAACAATGCTGTGTATGTTGAATGGCCTGCCTGTCCTGGGGATCCCAACTATTGTTGGGAGCCGTGGGAAATATGTTGCCCTGTTATTATTGCTGAAGCAAGATTCAGCTGCCGATCCAGTCATTTTCGGTAAGTTTAGCCAACAGCGACTGAAGAGGGAGCAGTCCAGGTCTTTTGCTTCAAGCACCAAAACACCTATATTTCTTGCATAAGTATATGTTTGTAGTGTGAATCTAGAAACATTGTTAACGTAGCTGCAACTAGGTTGAAGAACGCATTAACTTTTCTTTTAAATTTAAGAATAAAAATGCTTATGGAAGCAGCAAAACCAAACTGCAGTGGTTGTTAACCAGTGGGCAGAAAAATTCCTGCACAATCTTGCATTGCAGTCTGAAAAGGCACTTTTACTAGAGAGTCAGCCCCATTAACACTGTGGAACTTATTTCTGAGTGAACATTTGTAGGATTCAATGTCAATGAGTTGTCTGTATGCATGAGCCTTACCAGGCAGGACAGTCTGCAGACAGGAGATTGATTGATTTAAAGCATTTATAGTCCATCCTGTACCACAGAATCTCAGGGCGGCTTACAAAGCCATATAAAACCATTTAAAAGCATATGTTTAAAACAAACTGTCCAGAACACAAAACCAACGTGTTAAAGCTTTAAAGCCATTGCATTAAAATCTATGCAGGCCACTATTCTCAGTACTCCAAGGCTCTAATAAAAATGTTTTGGCTTGGCACTGGAATGATGCCCGTGTCAGCACTGACTGCGCTCGCCTCCAAGGAGAGGGCCTTCTACAGTCATGGTGCTGCAGCCAAGAAAGCCCTACCCCAGGGCTCCACATAATAAACTGTTCTTAATGGTGTGATATGGAGGAGGGCCCCTCCAAGCAGATCTAAGTGAGCGGTCAGATTGAATGTTACAGGGAGAAGCACTCCCTCTCCCTATATAGGGATGTCGTCTCAGGGATCTCAGGGAAAGTGTTGTTTATTGTTGTTTTGTTGTTTAGTCGTTTAGTTGTAGTCGACTCTTCGTGACCCCATGGACTAGAGCACCCCAGGCCCTCCTGTCTTCCACTGCCTCCCGGAGTTGGGTCAAATTCACGTTGCTAGCTTCGATGACACTGTCCATCTATCTCGTCCTCTGTCGTCCCCTTCTCCTCTTGCCTTCACACTTTCCTAACATCAGGGTCTTTTCCAGGGAGTCTTCTCATGAGATGGCCAAAGGATTGGAGCCTCAGCTTCAGGATCTGTCCTTCCAGGGAGCACTCATGGTTGATTTCCTTCAGAATGGATAGGTTTGTTCTCCTTGCAGTCCAGGGGACTCTCAAGAGCCTCCTCCAGCACCACAGTTCAAAAGCATCAATTCTTCGGTGATCAGCTTTCTTTATGGTCTAGCCACACAGTTTAACCGTTGTGCAAGGCCCCCTGGAAGAGTAAAGTGCCCCAAAGATAATCATGGAAATCCCAGATCTAAATAAAATCTCCATAACCTCATTTATAGGTTTAGAAGTAGTGCTGCAACTGAAATAGAAACACAGTGCATCTTCTCAGAGTAGGGAAGACTTGTTGTGACCAGGTGATCTGTGTGCCTGCTGCTAAGTTTACTTTCCAGGTGCTAAATGTTAATAAGCACATGCAGGCCCCTCCCTTTCTTAAAATGTCTTAAAAATCCTTCATCCTCAAAGTAGACACGGACTGACTGTACAGCTGTTCAGGTCGAGGACTATGCTCTGTAAAGTAAGACACAGAGCCACCCTAATGCCACAGCATTGTGCAAGGAGAGCGATTAATAATCTGTGCACAGTTCAGCATACTGAACATCCTGACTCTAGATTTTTTAGCCCTTAAGGCTTCAAAAATATGCTAGAAGGTGTGTCAGTAATGCTGCTGAAGCACTAGAACCCAGCTAAGGGATTGTCCATGAAGTGTGTCGTTTTTAAATGGCCATTTAACAAAACAAAAAAAGCTTCTTTTAAAAACGCATCCCTTTTATCACAACATTGCTATATCTTTCTTTTCCCATGTCACATGAGATACTGAGACACGTAATGCCTACAACAGATGATTTAATTCTGTACTAAAATTGTGTAAATATATAAATATAAATCTGTTTAATTTATGAAAGCTTTTGTAGATCAGAGTTTGGATTATGAAGATGCAGAGGTGTGTTTTTTTAAAATTTACAGTATATCATTTGCACATAGTACACGCAGGTTTAACTTTAAATCATATTTTGATGATGGAGAACTAGGGTTTTCCCTCTTACATGCCAGAAATGTGCATAATCTGAAAGAAAGTTTCCTCAAGCTGCAATCCTATGCCTTTTTATTCAGTGCTGATGATCTGCCCATATGGGATGGCAATTTGAGGGTCAAATAAAAAGGTTATTCACATATTGAATCAGCTGCATCCTGAAATATCCTTATGTTCCCTCATGATAGGGGAAATCAGCAGCTTAGGGTTTGGGCCCCTATCAGAAACCTTATATAGTCTCTGCCAATCCAGGATGATAGCACTGACTCAGATCATAATAAGTCGTCGTGCATGGGTTTGAGGAATTCAAAAACAAAAATACAGAAAACAAAAATATATTTCTTAGTGACAGCATTGCCCTGTGAGCTCAAAGGTTTGTTGGCTTTTTCTAAGTGTTTTTGGTGTAGTGTTATATGTGTTGTTTTCCATTGTCTAGAAGCCATGGTCAAGTGATAGAAAACAGGATGTAAAAAGCTTAAAATAACTTTTGTGGCAACTTTTCCTGCCTCCAAATCAGGTTCTGCTACCCTTTCACACAGTCCTGGAGGTATGGACTGCGATACGTAGAATCTTTGCAACAGTTAGTGATGACCTCTGAAGGAATGGGAGAAGTTCTGCTATAGTTAGATGGCTATCTTCACCAGCAGATGTTGGCTGAAATCCTGTTGCTTAACACAGTACAGTGGTACCTCGCTAGACGATGACTCCGCTGTATGATGAATCCGCAGGACGGTGACTTTTTTGCGATCGCTATAGCAATCGCAAAATGATGTTTCCTATGGGGGATTTTCGTTTGACGATGATTAGGTCTGTGCTTCGCGAACCGTTTGTTCACAAGACGACTATGTTTTCTGGCTGCGCAAAATAGCTGTCCTGTGTTTTCCGGACCCATGCTTCGCAGGGCAGCCATTTTAACAGCTGATTGGCACTCAGAAAATGGCTTCCCCTATGGGCGATCTTTGCTAGACAATGAGGTAATTTCCCCATTGGAATGTATTAAATGGGTTTCAATGCATTCCAATGGGGAAACTGTTTTCACTGGACGATGTTTTCGCTTAACAGCGATTTCAGGGGAACGAATTATCGTTGTGGTGTAAATTTTTCTGGAGTTGGCCCATTGAATCAGTGAGGAGTTGGTGAGTCTATGACTGTGTAAGTTCCACTTATTCAGATGTGTCTACTCTAGTTGCAACTTACTTTAATATATTAAGTCACAACTAGAATAGACCCATTTGAATCAATAAACTTGCAGAGGAGTTGACTTGCCACATTCCAACTGATTCAGTGGGCCTATTCTACTGTCACTAAGCTAAGCAACAGGGTTTCAGCCATTATATATGGCAAAAAAAGTAGCATAGAGAGTTGAATCTCCTTAGCTATCTTACAGACTTTCCTAGAAGTGGCCAGATGGAGCATATAGGCATGGAATATTCTTCCCTTGTATCTAGTCCTTTTTTAAAAAAAATCAGCCAAGACTGGTCTATGTTTCGATTATTCACTTTTTAAATGGTCATTTAGAAGATTGTCCTAATGAAGGACAGTTAACTGCCAAGCTTGCAAGCCAAATCTGGTCTCCTCAGACACCTTCAGCAAACCGTTAGTAAATGTAAGGCATTGAAATTAAGATGCAGAAGGAGGTATCATGCAAGGAAGTATCTTTTGCAAGGACAGGAAGCAATGACACACTTACTGCCGCCTTGTCTCTTATGTATTAAGAGAGACAGAAAGCAGTCATTTCCTGAGTACATGAGTTTCATACCTGGGAAGCCATTGCTGCCTCTTCATACTGTCAAAAATGGATGAACCGTGGGCAAATAGTTTATTTGTCCTGGAATTAATTGGAGTTTCTTAGAATTCGTACCATTTGCACTAAGTCACCCACATGTATGTTCTCTACAGCTGACTAGAAACTTGAAAATCTAAAATATTGATTGGGTAATATCTTTATTGGAAGATCAAATAACTCCAGAGATTACCTTGGGAGCCCTTAAGACTTTTCATTAGGCTGCGCATTGCAGAACTTGAGGCAAAACCAGAAAATATCCAAAAATCATTGGGGCCAGATCAGCAAGAAGTTAAACTAAGGTTCCAAGATGGAGAATGCAGACTTGAAGAACCCATTTGAGGTGGGCTAGTGTCAAGTTTCTCCTCAGCGATATACAAGGTCCTTTCTCATCAGCTATAGCCATATGTCAACGTGCATGGCTGCTGGTTTTGGGTGGGAGCAGTAGCGCCAAGAAACATGTTGAGCCCTATATCAGAAAATTTGCAGAATAATTTTAGACGACACACCACACAAAACACTCACCTGAAGCCAAATTCTAAGTAGTGCCTTGTAATTGAAGGAAGAGGATCTCCTCAGTGTGGTAGAATCCCAGTGACGGTAAATGGTCCTTTAGTGCTATAGGCATCTGGTTGGCTATTTGTAGTAACTTTTATAGCAAATGTATGGGTGGAAAGTCAAATTTTCATGTCTTAATGTCAGAACCTTTCCAAATGCATTTTGTCATAATTTTGTATTACCCACTTACATAAGATTAAGGAGGAATTTTCTTCAGAAGCTCGGCCTGGTGACTGTTCTCTTGAAGGATTGTGTGAAATGAGGTGGGCAAAAAGTATGCTCTCCAAACACTGCTGGACTGGCACTCCCTGTTCCAGCATCCTCTCTCGGCTAGGACCGATTACAGCCAGTAAGCGACAGAAACATCTGACAGAATCGCTCTGGAATTCTTTACACATGCAAACAGTGGCTGGTTATTGTATGATAACCTCCAATCTTTTTCCTAAGCAAGCTTTGAACCTTCCATGAATGTATGCATGAATCAAGGCTAGCTTTCTATTTGGGCGGAGTGCGTTCTTTGCTTCAGGCAACTGATTCTGGTGCCTTGAAAGGGTAATAAATTGCTAATGAACTGTTGTATCTTTGTTGCCAAAGACAAACATTTGTGGTTATTTCTTTCCCTGGTGGTGCAATCATCCGACTCCCCTTGGTCCCTGTAACTTGATAGGCACAGTTAGATGCTCCATTTTAGGCGGCCATGCATCTTGGGTAAGCTCTGCTATCTTGTTCTCTTCTCTCACATCCTTGCAAAGCAAACTGTTTCATGTGTGGCTTTTGGCTTATTCCACCCTTATTATTCCACATTGCCCCAAAGAAAAAAAAAGAAATGGAGGGCTGCTGTTTGAAAGCTCATAAAAATAGACACTTCTCCTCTGAAAAGTAAGGCCTTGGGAGACACTAGTATTTTAAAAAAAATGCTCTTAAATATACAGTGTGATAGAATGGTTAGAGTGGCAGTGGTTCTTAACCTTTGTTACTCAGGTGTTTTTGAACTGCAACTCCCAGAAACCCCAGCCAGCAGAGCTGATGGTGAAGGCTTCTGGGAGTTGCAGTCCAAAAACATCTGAGTAACAAAGGTTAAGAATCAGTGTTGTAGAGGACAACATTTAGGTAGCTGTGTGGGGTTCAGCAAAAACAAAAGTATTGTGACATCTTTAAGACTAACCTGTTTGTTTCAGTGTAAGCTTTCATTGATTTTAGTCCAGGTTTTTTTGGACACGCTCTGGAAAATGTTCTTGTGTCTTAGGTAGATCCATAAAAGCTCACACTGCAACAAACTGGTTAGTCATAAAGCTCATTCTCTCTCTCTCTCTGCTGCCATCTGTTTCAGAATTTAAATTCATTGGGAACAGAAGTCTGTCTTTTTCTGTCTCCCAGCTTGCCTGACTCTCCTTGGCTAAAGTCTTCGTTTTTGTCTCCATGAATCCAGAAACTTGTGAAATGGATGAAGTATCTGTTTAGAGTCTCCGTTAATCTCAAAGAAGGCAGAGTGAAAGGTATGTGATATAAGACGATGAGGAGAAAATCAGATAGAGCAGGGGTCATCAACCCCCGGTCCGTGGCCCAGTGCCGGTCCGTGGGCTTGCTGGAACTGGGCCACGGATAGGGGTCTCCACCCCCCAGCCCCGCCTGGGAAGTTGGCCAGGCAGGAAGCAGCAGGATCACGCACACACTCCCACCCGGCCGCTCGCCCTGGGTGGGGTGGTGCCGAGCCGGGTTGCCAGCCATTGGTGCTTCCCGGGTAGGCTGCCCCACGGCGGCTTCTGCGCAGGGAAGGGGCACTGCTCTCCTGTGAGGGGTGCTGGGGGAAGGTTTAGCACCAGCACAATATAACCCTCTGTAAGTGCAACACACCCACCCGTGAGCTTAAGGGTGTCCCACCCCCAACCGGTCCTCGCATGGAGCCCGCACCCCCTCAGCTGGTCCGTGGACCGAAAAAGATTGAGGACCACTGAGATAGAGGACATGGGAATTACAGTGATACCTGTACTCTTGAGTCACAGCTCTGAAAAGGGAATGATGCCTTGAAAATCTCTCTCTCTCTCTCTCTCTCTCTCTCTCTCTGTGTGTGTGTGTGTGTGTGTGACAGCAGGAGAACCCATCCTCCTGCTTCTGGCATGTGCCCCCCCCTTGTTTGTCCACAGCCAATTCATTGTATTAGGTGAAAAAAAAAAACCAAGCCTACACGTACTCTGTTATTAAAACAAAAACAAAAAAAAGTGAGATTCTTTTCCTAGGCAATCCTGTTTCTGCCCTTCAGCAAATGTGAAATCTTAACCTTGTAAAAATGAGACCATCAAAGCTGATTTGCATGATTCTCTTATCTTGCGACATTTTGTGATTATTTCTTCTTTTGCAAAACTTTATTCAATGTTCAGTTTCCATCTCCGCTTTGATCACAGGACACCCCTCCCCCACCTTCTTCAGAGCCATTCCCAAATTGAGATAGGGTTCAAAGGATTTTGGTACACACACTATAGCAGTCCACCTCGCCTAGTCCTCTCCGTCTGTTCTAACTACCAGCATTCCTGTCTATTAACCATGCTAGCTAGAACTGAATGGAGTTGAAATCGAAAATACCTGGAAAGCACCTACCCTTTTCAGAAAAAAGGGTCTTCTTAAAAGCTGAGAACTCTCTAGAGCAGGAATTCAGCATGACACCAGAAACTGGAGCTGGTAAACAAATCTGAGAATTGTTCCTTTCCTTCTGCCCATGGGCATGCCAATGCACTTTGTATTTGTGTGTTAGTCTGATTTTTTTTGTTCAATAAAGGCATCACCCTACTCTTGCATTTGTGTGGCTCACAAACTGATTTCTATACCCATGAAGGTGCAAAAGCTGCTTTTACATTAAAAATAATGCCCATGGATGAGAACTCTGCATCTGACATAACATTATGTGTGTGTACAGTATTGACATAACTATCAACTCATAAAAAGCTTATTTGCTGCTTTCTGACATAGACCCTAGTCAAGTGGTTCTTAACCTTGGGCCTCCCAGGTGTTTTTGGACTGCAGCTCCCAGAAGCCTTCACCACCAGCTGGACTGGCTGGGGTTTCTGGGAATTGCAGTCCAAAAACACCTGGGAGACCCAAGGTTAAGAACCACTGCCCTAGTCCACAAAAGTAGTATTGTTTATTTAAGTCTACATGCCATACCTTTATACCAGAGAGGATTGCATGTCAAAGTATTAAAAAAAACTAAAATTGCAGTGTTTTGCAAAATGTAAATATCAACAGTAAAATCGGCATTAAAAAAATACAGTTTGAAACTGTATAATTAAATGTTTAGTGCCTGTGCAAACTGCTGGATTGCTGTCTTAAGTCTCTGGCTGCAGAGCCAGAGGCTGGGAGTTCGATTCCCCACTGGGTCACCTTCACAGGGGTTGGACTCAATGGGGCCCCTTCTAGCTCTGCAGTTCTAAGATGATGAGGAACTATGCAAATGAAATGGTCTTGACCGAGCACTAAAAAGAATACAGTTTTGGTGCTAGCCATTTCTGCTATAATTAACGTCTTTTGGGTGCTTTGAGACTCTTGTCAATCTGATTACAATATGATCTGATCTAATTCTTTTTGCGTACCCTGCTCCCTCCCTCCCTACCTTCCCCTCGGCACAAACAGGAGTCCAAAGGCTGGCGAGTCATGCTTGGAAAGAGACAAGGGCATTGTGAAAGCCTAACCGACTACCACCGGCCTGCTCCAGATGTTGCTGTCTCCCAGAAGATCCACTCCCCTAGGGCCATCAACATTAGCCTGGAGGCGTTCAATGGCTCCAGCCCTGACCTCAAGCAGTCTCGCAAAGCCATGCGGGATCGGAGGTCGTGCAAAGCTGATCCCAAAGATTCCAATGGCAGAGAGGGAGAAACAGCAACCTTTATCTCTGGCCCTGCAGAGACCCCTCACACCATGTGCTGCCCCACTCTGTCCCAGGCCTGGAATGCTTACAAAGCAGTCTTCTGCTGCATTGTGACTTGTGGGGGCTGTTTCAGGGACTGCAGAGGCAGCATCTCATACCCATATAACGAGTCACTGACAGAGGACACCAAGAACCGGGAGTGCAACGGGCATTTGTCAAACAGTCCAGAGAACAGCTCCCGCCCTGAAAATGATGGGAAGAAAACCAAAAAAATCCCAGTGGGTAGCAGTTTCAGCTACCCAGATGTGAAACTGAAAGGGATCCCAGTCTATCCAAACCGGAGCCCTAGCTCGTACACAGACACGGATTCCTGTTGCAAGGAACCTCTGTCAGAAAAGAGCCCTTGGGCCAGTGTAGAGAAGCAGAACCCTCCCAGCAGCCAGCGAAACTCCGAGGAACATTATTCCTTCCATGAGTCGGATCTCGAGTTTGGTGAGCTGAACAGTTCCATGTCAAGTCGAGACATTGACGTCCTGATCTTCAAGAAACTAACTGAGCTCTTCAGCGTCCACCAGATTGATGAGCTGGCCAAGTGTACATCAGACACGGTTTTCCTGGAGAAGACCAACAAGATCTCAGACCTCATCAGCAGCATCACTCAGGACTATCACTTGGATGAGCAGGATGCTGAATGTAGACTGGTCCGGGGGATCATTCGCATCAGCACACGCAAGAGCAGGGTCCGCCCTCGTGTCTCTGTCCCCGCCCTTCCATGTCCGGAGGAGAACAGCAACCGGGGCAACCCACCTGACAGTGGCAACGAGACCATGTTGGCTTCTGTACTCACCAGTGAAGAAGGTATGTATCAATCTCCATCCCGTCTGGAGAGTGTAACAGGACAAAGAGAAGAGTGCCAGAAAGGGATCACTGGAGTGGTGAAAGGATTAGCGTTCCAGGTGTTTTTTTTTCAAGAAAGTGGGTAACATTTCTACTTTTTCAGTTGAGTGGGAAAAGATCAAGTGACCAGAGGGAGGAGAGGAGATTTTGGAGGGGCTTATAAAATTATGGTGTTGAGAGGAATAGATTATTATGAAGTAACATTTCTACTTTTTCAGTTGAGTGGGAAAAGATCAAGTGACCAGAGGGAGGAGAGGAGATTTTGGAGGGGCTTATAAAATTATGGTGTTGAGAGGAATAGATTATTAAGTCCCACAGTCACATGGCTTGGCCAGAAGATCAGGATTAACAAAATGAAGTAGTATTTGAGACAATGCCTGATTAACATCTAGAATTCCCTGCAATTTGTTGGCCACTACTTTAAAACACCTTTACGTTCACAGTAAAGCAGCCAATAAGTTCCGTTGCAAAAGACACTTTGCTTCCTTCCCAGGGTTTCTTCCAAGGTGGCCCATGGATCAAAGGCACATCTCCTTCTCCTTGCTTCATTCTTCTTACCTTGCTATGTGTTCTAGTGTCTGTATGTCATTTCCTTTTCCTTTTCCAATCCCATTTCTTTACTATTTACTATTTAAACAAGGAAGAACTTGCCTCTCGATGTTGTGGGTGCCCCATCGCTGGAAGTTTTCAAGAAAAGATTGGACAGCCATCTGTCTAGGATGGTATGAGGTCTCCTGCCTTGGGCAGGGGGTTAAATTAGAAGACCTCCAAGGTCCCTTCCAACCCTACGATGATTCTATGATTCTATAAGAGGCAGACCAGAGGGCAGCCCTTTAGGGCTTCCTCGCCTGTGCTTTCTGTATCTTTGAATGTTCAGCAATGAGGTGTAACAAGCTCTTCCCACTAAAGCCAAATGGAGTGTTTTTTCCAACTCTAACTGCAATGTATTGTAGGGGCAATTTGGAGCAGTTGCGACTAGAATGGGCAGCGTTATTCCGCTCCTCGTGGTGCAACCACCCTAAAATCCTGCCATGTAGCAATTAAGCTTTAGATAACACCTCATTTTTGGCTCTCTGGCTGCAAAGGTGGAGTTCTACAACACTTTGCACCGGAATGGGCAATCTGAAGGAACAAAAGGGCTAAATTTGTGACCCAGTCCCCTCTGTGGGCTGCATAGACTTTGGAAATCGCCATTTTTATACCTTCATTTTTAAGGCTGATAGAAATTGCCCTGCCTGGATCAGAAAATGCTTTAAAAACTAGGCCAACACCCCATTCCCAGAGTGGACAATGAGAGATAACTTTGTAAGTGCTTGGACAGGACTCAAGCACAAAGACTTCCACACTTGTTCTCCCAGAACTGGCTCTGAGAGACAGACTGACCCTATGGAGATAAAACAAAATCTTACTGACAACTGATGCTTATCTAAATTCAATCTTCAATCTCAGTGGCAAATTCCTGCTAATCAGTGGAGAGCTGGTTGCATTCCTGGATTGCCTGCTCAAGAATGCTGTCAGCACCTTCTTAATTAGTGACAGTTTGCAGCTGCAATCTGGAAATTGAGTCATGGGTATCTGGACTTCTTTCTTATTAGGTTGAAACATTCGCTATTCATCCAAGGAGCTTCTTCAGTCTGAGGAGAGTTGGTAGGCGACCCCTGATATATCCTCTACGTGGTTTCACTTCCCCCTGGTCTGAATAGGCTCCTTAGTTGGACATAGGGCAGGAGGGGAAGGGGAGTGAAAATCCGACTTCTGCAATCCTCTTCCCCCCTTGTCATGGGTCATTAATAGTTGTTAGCAGTGGTCTTTCTGGTGAGCGTGGTCTTGATCTTTCTGGGGCGGTATAAAAGGGCAGCATTATAAATACCCTGTTTCCCCAAAAATACAGTAAAACCTAACCTGAAAATAAGCCCTAGTATGATTTTTCAGGATGCTCGTAATATAAGCCCTACCCCAAAAAATAAGCCCTAGTTAAGGGAAAGCCCGCCCTCCACCCTTGTGCAGCAACCAGAAGATGACATGACTATATTTGCTGTATTTGAATAAATGTCGATGGTTGTACATGAAAAAAAAAACATCCCCTGAAAATAAGCCCTAATGCATTTTTTGGAACAAAAATTAATATAAGACCCTGTCTTATTTTCACGGTAGGAGACAGATTGTATCTAAGGCCTCCACCCCTGTTGAATGAGGGATTTTCAATATGCACATGTAGGACCTCCCTGACCCCTCTCTCAAACCACTTATCTTCTCAGTCCAAAATGAGTACATCTTGGTCATCAGTTGCCATGACTCAACTTCCAGATAAACTCACCTGGTGACTGAGAATCTTCACAGATATTTGCAGCTGCAACTTAAGTCCATTTTGCTGATGTTAACATAGACCACCAATAGAATTCTGGAACCGTCTTAGCCATTAATAAATAACTTTATGACTGTGGCCCTCTGCGGACATCCTGTGTGTCATTGCCTATATACTGTGTGCAGATTGAGGAAGCAGGAGTTCCTGGTTGAAGGATCTTCTGCGTTGAAGGGTCCTTTCCCACATCTGAACTTCATGGCTCCTTCCCCCAGCTGTTTACACTTGTAAAAGACTGTGGTAGTTAAAGAGCCAAATTTTAACTGGCAAGGTAGTGTCACTGTTTATTTGTCACTTTTGATGGCTGTACTCAATTATTAGAGATTCTGTGCCGGTTGCTAATGAAAAATAGCAGGAGAGAACAGTTGCCCTCATGTCTTGTTCTTAGGCTTTCCCAAAGCAGCTGGGAAAAAGGGTAAGGCAGTGGCCTTCAACCTTGGGCCTCCAGATGTTCTCGGACTACGACTCCCAGAAGACTTCACCACCACCTCTCCTGGCCAGGATTTCTGGGAGTTGAGGTCCAAGACCATCTGGAGGCCCAAGGTTGGGGACCACTGGGGTAAGGGACTAAATAGGCCTTTGTCTGATCCAACAGGGCTCTTCTTGATTTGGACTCTCTCTGTCTTGGTAATCTTTCTGCCCTTTGAACTTCATGCTTCTTCCCAGCCATCCTGCATTGCTAAGGGGGGAGGGGGGTGTGGCCAAATAAGCTAATTTACATTTTTTTAAATAAATAATAATAATGGTTTGTTTTATAGGCCCTTTTTCTCCCAATAAGGGGGCCAAAGGCAGCTGGTTGCTGCAAGAGTTTTTAATAATTGACAGATGGATTTAATTCTCTTTTGTTGAAGTTTTTGACTGAAGCCCATCTTGTGCCTTGTTGCCACCAAAAATGTTTAAAATAAATTTGGGAGGTATACTGGGGATACCTCAAAACATGTCAAAATTTGCTTCCATGCCCCATAAAGAGACTCTCTTCGCAAATTATTTTAAAATTAAAATTTGCACGGTATGGAGTGCAGGGTGTGCATGCACAAAAATACCCCTAAGAGGGACCCTGCAGTCAATGGGCCATGAGCTGTGCCCCATTTAAGGTAGCTCACCTTTGCCTTAGATGGATCACGTAAATATGGGAGGTAGGCTTTTTCTGTCTCTCATACCATCACATGATCTTCTGCTCATCAGTAAAATTTTTCTTGCAGTTACTTTCATAAGGAAATTGTTTGTTGTAAGCATATGATGAACTCTCCCAGAGCAGCCAGATTAGAGAAACTAGGCAGATGTGAGCAACTTGAGTCAAAATCCCAAGCCAACCCTGGATTTGCATTCCAGATTTCTATCTCTTGCCCTCAGTCTTCTGTCTGGAGAAATAATGTCAACGTAATTTGCACGATGAGAACTGATGAAAGTGAGAGGGTCGATTATGAATTGAAATAAGTGTGTTCGGTTGCATAAGGTTCACATGATACCAAGACTGGCCCTTGTGCTGTAATACAGCAAAGATAGTGAGCTAGATAGCTCAGTGAGTCAGAACACCAGGCAGTCGGAGTTCAATTCCCTGCTGAGTCCTGTAGGAGAAGACCTAGTTTGTGTGGCCTTGGGCAAACTGTAGGAACAATGATATCAGCTGCCATCGCTTCTCTGTCTTCTTTGGTCCCTCTTGAGTTTAGCTGTGTTCCACACTGTAGAGGGATGAAATATATTTTTCACTGGCACCAACACATGATGAGATATACATCTTGTCATACACAGACTGAAATCCTCTTGCTTAGTGTTATAGGTCACAATTAATGTAGGTTCATTGAATCAGTGGAACCTATGGAGGAGTTGCCCAACCAAATCCCCACTGATTCAATGGGCTTACTTCAGTTGTGATATACTGTGCTAAGCAACAGGATTTCATCCAGAGGATTTGAGAGTGTATGGTATTGAATGAGCAATTAAGACCCATTACTTTTATGAAAAGCCTCCTTGAGATGGAAATGAAAACTACTGGGCTCCAGTAGTTTTTCTCTTTACTGACTCCTAACAGCACAGCAGAGGAATAGAACTGAGGCTAACCCCAGGGATTTGACAGAGAGGAGACGTGAGGAAGAGATTAAAGCATAGGGAGACAAAGGAAGAGAGTTATATATTAGTGGTCTCTGAAGACACTCTTCACCAGTGGATCTGCAAAACCACTTTCCGATTCTTTAAGAAGAGTCTGGCAGACAACATGCAGAGGAAGACATGTAGGAGACCCTACAGGAAGACATGAGAGAAGATGAAACTCTGTCAAGCAGAGTCACTGAATCCACACTCTACAAAAAGAAGAATGATTGTAGTAAGAAACTCCGTGCTACATACAAAAATGATCTTAGAATTATTGTAGATCACAAGCTGAATATGAGCCAACAGTGCAATGTGGCCGCAAAAAAGGCAAATGCTAATTTAGGTTGTATTAACAGAAGTATAGTCTCCAAATCCCATGAGGTACTAATTCCCCTGAATTTGGCACTGGTTGGGCCTCATCCTGAGTACTGTGTCTAGTTCTGAACTCCACACTTTAAGAAAGGATGCCTGTAGCTCAGTGGTTTAGGTCTTTGGCTGTGGAACCAGAGGCTGGGAGTTCAATTCCCCCGTTGTGCCCCCTTGGCAGGGGCTGGACTAGATGATCTAAAGGATCCCTCCCAGCTCTTCAGGTCTAAGATCGTAAGATTATTATAAATTCAGAGGATGGCAACAAGGATGATTAGGGGATCAGAAACCAGGATCTATGAGGCAAGATTGAAAAAACTGAGCAGGTTTAGCCTTAAGAAAAGAAGACTGAGGGGAGATATGATACCATTTTTCAGATACTTGAAATACAGTCATCAAGAGGAGGGGCTGTTCTCAATCACCCAAGACACATAATAATGGGCTCCATGTACAAAAAAACAGATTTTGGTTCAGTATCAGGAAAAATGTATTGTTAAAGCAGTATGACAATGGAACCAATTACTTCGGAAGATGGTGAAGGCTCCAACCCTGGAGAAAATTCTAGAGAAAACTAGACAACCATCTATCAGATATACTTCCCACTCTATTATTCTATGAGTCTGTGGATTCTTGATATAGAACAATACTAGAGATGAGGGCTTCATATATGTATGTGAATGCTAAGCCCCCCCCCAGCACAGGTGGCTGGCCTGACTATCTCCCACCCCCAGACCCAACTGGACTACTTCCTCTGTATGGCCAGCATCCTCTGTTGCCCCACTCCGGCAAGGGGTTGGGAAGACGAGTCTCTCTGCTCATCCATGGAATGGCTGGGCAAGCAGGGAGGCAGGATTGCGGCCGCTGAGCTACTGCCTCGATTGGGGCATAGGAGAAGACACCAGCCATGCGTGCCGTGTGGTAAGGTCTGGGGGGTGGGAGATAATCAGGCTAGCCACCTGTGCTGGGGGGCTTAGCATTCGTACACAAATATGAAGCCCCCATCTCTAATCAATACATATGTTGGTGTTTCTGGACTCTCCTTGGGGGCTGTGGCTGCCCTAATACTTCTTGCCTTTCAGAATTTACCTCTGGACCATTGACGAAAGAGACAACCTGGCATAGATATCAAATACACATTTATTAGAAAGCAATGATCTGTTGCAGTTCACTGTTCTGCCCCTATAGAAAATGTGTACTCTACGAAAATGGAGTGGTCACATGCAGTAGAACGTGTAAAATGGTCCTGTGTGATAGGCTATATGCCCCTACAAATTTCTCCCTCTCCTTATTTTTCTTCCAGATTTGTCTGTTCAGATATCTAAAGAAACCACAGCAGATGTGAAAGCCAGGAACATGAGGTGTGGGGCATATAGTCATGCAGGTAAGCTTTCTTCATAAACGGAATCTAGCTTTTGTTTGTCCAAAAGAGTGATATGAGACTCAGGAGTGCCCTGAAGACACTTCTAATTCTGCTACCTAGGAAGATTGTTCCAGGAACACTATTAATTGTTAACTAAAATGCATTTATACTGAAACAGTTGGGTGGTTATTTATTGTGTCCTTATTTACAGTTCATACAGTCAATCATTTTGTGACCTGGGAGAATAGGGCTGTAACCACTAGCCCCAATTCTTCTGTCCTGGTTCTGCTCCTAAAGTTTTTCCAGTGGAGCTTTTGTCAAGGAAGCGGTCTGTGGCCGCATAACCCAAAAGCAAGTGTGGGCAGTACCTGTATTAGACCACCAAAATCCCACAAACACTTTCAAGTCCTGTAGGGCCCTTCATCAGGCTGGGCATTATGGAGGGTTGCAGATGCAAAAGGAGTAGAAATTTCTTTTAAAAAAATTGTCAAGACTGTTAAGACCAGGTTCTCTGGTTTGAAGTAAGCTCCAAAATGGAGTCCGCAACCTTGTAAACTTAGCTTGAGGTAGTAGCTTTCTGGTTTCACCTCAGGCAATGTAGATTTCATTTTCTTTCTAGCTGTAATAGATAACGGGCTGTCTAGGACTTCCGCTTGCACAAGGGGATAATGAATTCGTTGCTGCTAAAGCAACAAGGAAGAACAACTATGCATGCATGGCATAAACATACTGAGTTTCTAATCCAGCACTTTCCACTATTGGAAAGTTTGTTTTCCCTTCCCTGCACCCTCAGACTTAAACGTCATGGTAGGCTACTAGAATATGAGGAGAAAAAATTATTCTCTTTGAATCCAGCAGGCAGCAGCAAAAAATAAAGATAGGACTCAAAACAAATAACCAAAGGGAGAAAAAAGCCTGGAAGAAACTGCGGGTGGGTGGGAATCCAAAAAATAATCTCAAGGAGGCACGCTAGTGCAGGCAGGCTGTCTGGCAGCAGCAAAAATAATCCAAAGAAATGTGTGTGAGAGAAATCCCCCCAAAAAACACAAAAATAAAGAGAGAAAAAACAAAACAAACAAAAAAGGACCTAGAATAGAGACTTGACTGGTAAGCAGGCAGCATTCTGAAATGGATGGTATCAGGAGCAAAGCACACAGTAATTCCACCCAGAAGGAATGACAGAAGTAAAGAAAGAGCACTCTTCATTGGTTTCCAAGCCCTTTTAGAGATTCAAAATCCCCCCTCCCCTCAGGCATTCTGATTGGCAGCTGACAGCCCTTGTGCTGCTATCGGATGAAACCATTTTCAGGTAATTTGAGATGGAGAGGGGGCTGAAAGGTTCCATGAAAGAGGGAACTCAAAAGAAACAAGGAACTTTCATGAACCCCCTTTTCATAAACACAAATCATGTTTGAAAGCATGTAAATGCGAGTAGATAAATAGGTACCACCATGGTGGGAAGGTAACGGCTTTCCGTGTCTAGTCGCGCTGGCCACGTGACCACGGAAGATTGTCTTTGAACAAACGCTGGCTCTACGGCTTGGAAGCGAGGATGAGCACCGTGCCCTAGAGTTGGACATGACTGGACTAAATGTCAAGGGGAACCTTTACCTTCGGCAGTTGCTGCAAGCACACAGATTACAATGAAAGAGAGCTTCAGTTGAGTTTTGAGTCTTTTGTTTAAATGTGAAAGGCCTTATTGACTTACTCTTTCAGTGCTGTATGTAAGGAAGGAGGAAGTATAAGTTAAAAGGCAATGGACTCTATACAGATTTTCGCATGTTTGACTTTTTGGTTTTAAACACTACTAAAGCAAAATAAGAGGCCCCTACGGATGAATTAAAAACATTTATATTATACAGTGCCATAAACGTCCCACCCCTAACACAGCAGATATTTCCAATTATGGGCGTGCTGACCTGTTTAATATATGCAAAAGCATTTGTTGGTAATGTTATTTTTTTTCTGCTAGCCATGGAGAGAGGCAAAGCACTGTACAAGGTATGGAAGTTCTGCTCTTGAACTGCTGGAAATGGTGCTCCATGCTCTACTGGCTTCTGATGTTTCTCATGGTGTTGCCTGCATGTTTTCAAGCCTGTTTGCATAGCCTTAAGGGCCGGGAACTTGCTCTTATTTTTAAAATGGTAGCTGAGATTCTTCGGATTCTGAGTTCTGTCCTACATATAAATTTCCCCAAAAGCAGAATACTTGGGTGTGGGGAGGGGGACCTCTAAAAATCCTTGCTGTGGAGAGCAGGTTGTAGTCTTAGGGACAAATTAGACATTACATATATCCTGTCATTACAACTGAAATCTTTCTGGATTTCCTGAGAGGGAGTCTGTATGGAGCATAATGGGCCAGGAGACCACCAGACTCCTAATGTGTTGTTGCTCTCACAAAGCTGTGTTGCGGCCAGCCACTTTGTCCTTCTTCACGAAGATGTATCATGTCTGATGGAAACTTTATTCCTCGGCTGTTCATGATTCAAAACACCTGAGAGTTTTTTCTTTTCTTTTTGCTAAAGCCCCCAAAATTCATGAGGGAATTCCTGTAGGCTTCTAGGAGGTGGAGTCCAAAGAATATGAAAATCCCATGCCTACTTTCATATCTGAAAATTCAGAATTAAAAAGAAAGGACATGCTTATGTCTTGATGGCCAACCATAAATTAAATGTGCCTTTTAGCTTGAAAAAATATCCTGTTGTGACAGTAACATCTACTCTGCACGTCCAGGGCCGGTGGCAGGCTTTTTGTGCCCTATTTTTCAAAAACAGACAAATTGTAGGAAAAACAAAGTACAAAAGTTGAAATTGTGAAAATTTTATTTTTTAAAAAACTGAGTGAACAAGTAATAAAATGTGAAATTGTGAAAATTTTATTTTTAAAAAAACTGAGTGAATAGAACGGTCTTCAATTTTCTTTCTCAAATGCAAAACAGTTTTAGCACACAAATCATTTTGAATAATCCTATGAACTGTAGTCTCTTAAATGTTTCTATTTTTGCCACATCAAAACCTCATTTTTGTGTGCCTTTTCTTTCGTAAATTTTGTCACTGATTCCTTCAGGTCAATGGCTGATGCTTCGGCATGTTCAATTGATATAGTTGCCAAACCAACTAGTCTATTTTGCAGCATAATTGAGCGTAAATATGTTTCTCTAAGCTTGAGCTTTGAGAAACTCTGTTCACCACTAGCCACTGACACTGGAAGTGTGAGAAGGATCCTTAGAGCAACAGAAAGATTAGGTACACTATCCAGGAGTTTTTGTTAATACTATTAAGAGAACTACTTGTGGTGGCATATACAGTGGTGTCTCGCTTAACGAGCGCACCGCATAATGACGAAATCGCATAGCGATCCGTTTTTTCGGATCGCTAATGCGATCACTTAACGTTTTTCTTATAGGGCACAATTCGCTTTGTGAAGACCGGTAAGCGTTTCGCTTACCGATCTTCGCAAAACGAAGCCCGACAATCAGCTGGCCGCCGGAAGCCCGGTAATGGCCCAAAATGGCCGCGCGCAGCGTTTTCGCGCCCTCGTTAAGCGAGGCGAGGGCGCGAACATGGCTGCCGGCCATTACGAAGCTTCGCTGAACGGGGAGTATTTGGCCCATTTGGAACGCATTAAACCATGTTTAATGCATTCCAATGGAAACCCCTGCCCCGTTCCACGATGCTTCAGCATAGCGAAGGTTAATCCGGAACGGATTAACCTCGCTATGCGAGGCACCACTGTACTTTGGAAGGCTTCGAGCTATTGCTATAAGTTCACAGCACAGATCTTCAGCATCACTATCTTTTTTTCCATCGTGCATCAATGATTTTTTCCAAATTCTTGCAGGCCTTAAGTACATACTCAGTACATTTTTGTGGATATTGTATCTGTCATAAAGGAAGCCAAACAAGGAATTATATTGGTGCAACTGTTGGAATCTCTCTTCAACAGATTGCATGGCTGTGTCTAAGACAGCATAACAGAAACTTATTTTGAATTTCTGCTTTGGATCTTGTGGTGCCTCAAACTCTTGTGCTTCATACTCAAACTGCTTTTTTTGTTGTTTTCCTTTTTCTAACTTGTTCTGTCTCAAAGTCTGGTAGTATTTCTAGCTCCTTTGTCATCTCAGTAGCATCCATCAAAACTTGTTGAAAGCCCGCATCACACCTACAGCCCACCAGGTAATTCTTAGTCACTTGCAATTGGCTTGTAGCTGAATTTAAATCATTTTCCTTATTTTGTAACAGCTCGCTTGTAAAATTAATTTCAAAAAGAATGTTGTACCATGTAACAAGGGATATCACAAATTTGAACTTACAAATTGCATCAGCAAGAGCCTTCGCTTCAATTCGAGAAGTATTTCCAGATAAATTCTTTAGACTTGTGTCATCAAAGATCTCTATTAAAGCATCATATATACTACCAAGGTGATATCTCAGGGGTTTCAAAGGATCGATCTGACTCTCCGTTCTCTTTTGACTCAGTGGCTTAACAGTTATGCCTGATACATGGCTAGTTAGAATTTGCCAAAGCCGAGTCGATGCAGAGAAATAAGTTAGATCTGTTGAATCAAACTGAAGAAACTTGTTGCTTCTAGACAACATTTAGTGGCATCGTTGACTACCAAGTTTAAAGAGTGTGCATTGCAGGCCACAAAAAAGGCACATAGATTTATGTCTAGGACTCTCTTTTGTACACCATTTTCTTCACCTTTCATGTTACTTTCATTATCATAACCTTGACCATGCAGATCCTCAATGGGTAATCCCATTTGCTCATACTGTCCAAGAAGAGTTTCTGTCATAAAGGCATCTGTAGTTTCCTTTAGTGGAACAAATCCCAAGAAATGTACTTTTATCATGACCTCAGGTTTGGACATCTCAGGAACTGATGGTATGATCACATTGACAAAACATACAATCATTGTCATTTGTTCAGTATGACTAACATCAGTTGTGCAATCCAGAATAACTGAATAGTATTTGGCTGACTTTATATCTGCTAAAATTTTCTGCTTTATAGCATCTGCTAGAAGTTGTATAAGTTCATTTTGGATATATTTTCCCAAGTAGTGAACCATCATTTCTTCATTTTTAACTCTGCGCAAATGTTCATTCATGATAGGACCGAAAAGGGCTAAACATTCTACAAACTTCAAAAAAAATTCATTGTTAGCACTATACAGCTTTTCAGTAGTACCACAGAATATCAAGTTTTGCATGCCCTTTTTCTATGAAATGACCCTGGGTTGCATTATATAGAAAAAAATTATAAGACTTTGTAATAATTATATTCCATAGCACTGTTGTGGGATTTATTTTAACATTTTAAAATATAAATTTTCAGTTTCTTTTTTTTTTTCAAGAAACTAGTCTGTACAAAACTGTGCCTCTCTCAGGTCAGTTCTGCGCTCCTCTGAGTTCAATTCTGCGCCCCTCTGAGGTCAGTTTTGCGCCCCTCTCAGGTCTGCGCCTAGTTCACCTAGTGGTAGCTCTGGTCCTGTGCACCTCTTCCCTTTTCTAAAGATGGCTTATCTGTAACATAACAACTGTAACGTAACATCCCTCAAAAAGGGAACCTGTCTCCTTACGTGGGATGCAAAGAATCTCAGGGTTCTATTATGCTTACTAAAAGGTCGGTTCTAGCCCTCATGGCTGCAGACTTCAGAAAAGGCTGACATGCTTGCATTGGATTATACGGCGTTGTCATCTACCTCTAGCCTTTCTCTTTTCAAAGATAACACCTTTTCCTTCCCTTTCTCAGGTACTTTAAAATAGGTAGGTAAACACCAAGACTGTTTTGTTTTTTTCGGTGGATTCTCACTCATCGAGGTGTGGTTATCTGGAAGTTGAGTCATGGCGACTGGACTTCTTTCTTGTTAGGTTGAGACGTTTCGCTACTCATCCAAGTGGCTTCTTCAGACTGACAAGAATACAGTGGTGCCTCGCATAGCGAGGTTAATCCGTTCCGGATTAACCTTTGCTATGCGAAAACATCGCTAAACGGGACAAAAAAAGCTTTGGGAACTGTAGGCAAAAAAACTAACTTTCTCAAACTCTGCCTAGAATAGCTTGTAGTTGAGCCACATTGTCTAAGCTTGATGTAATAACGGTTCCTATGGCTTGAAAACTCACCGTTAAGCGATGTTGTCCCATAGCGCCGCCATTTTCGCGCCCTCGGTAAGCGAGGGCAGGGCGCGAAAATGCGGCGCGGACCTTCCGGCGGCCATTTTGGAACCGCCGATCAGCTGTTCTCCCCCGCTTCGTTTTGCGAGGATCGCTAAGCGAATCGCTTAGCGATCATCGCAAAGCGAAAAATCGCCATAGGGGCCATCGCTGAGCGAATGCTCCAGCGATGGCCCGGACCCCCTCGCTATGCGAATTCATCGCATAGCGAAGCACTCGCTAAGCGAGGCACCACTGTATTTCGGTTTTTGGTTTCATTTTTTGCAAGGTCCAACAAATCAAGCCAGATGTTTGACATTCTGAGAGACTGGCATAAGTTTAGAATTAAGCGATTAAATGCCTTTAATCCAAGCACCCTTCAGGCTTCTTGATTGTTCTCATTTATCAGTAGAATCCAGGATCCCCCGCTATCTCTATCTGCCAAGAGCAAAACACGCACTTAGAATTAAGAATAGAGTGCCTCTGAGCATATTCTGGACTTAAGAGTTTGCTATCAATAACACTGCTGGGATGGGCTGAACTCACAGTCCTTTCACAGAAAAATCCATTCCTTGATATCCACCTGAGTATGGTGGGGAAAGTCACATTGTTTGTGCTGTAGTGGGAGTTGGAAATCTTTGCAAATCCACTGCAAGTTACCAAGTGTTCTAGCAATAGATTCTGATCCACTTGAGCCCACCCTTGCTTTAAAAAAGGTCACAGTCTGTGGAGTTCTCCCTCACCCGATCCAGCCATCTATTGTTCTTCGGGTCAAACTGAAGGCTATGTTCTGAGCCACTGGTATATTTTATCTGTGTTTAGACACATAATTGTGACAACAACAAAAGCCTATCACAGGCTATGCTTGCTGGAGTGTTTTGGGAACTGTAGGCAAAAAAACTAACTTTCTCAAACTCTGCCTAGAATAGCTTGTAGTTGAGCCACATTGTCTAAGCTTGATGTAATAACGGTTGGTGCCATTCTTCAGTATTATGTGGGATCTTGTGCTTGCAAAAAAACTAACTTTCTCAAACTCTGCCTATAATAGCTTGTAGTTGAGCCACATTTTCTAAGCTTGATGTAATAATGGTCGGTGTCATTCTTCAGTATTATGTGGGATATTGTGCTTGTTGTAAAAAGGGTTAGGAACAATTTATCCACAGCTGCAATGGAGGAGCTCAGGATTTGGCTAAGAATGTTGGCCATTGTTTATTTGGCTTTAAAGTGAGTTGTTAGGACTGCATTAAAACATGTAGAGAAATCTTAGTCAGCAGAGTGTTGATCAGGATTTCTGTACAGTGGTGCCCCGCATAATGAGCGATTCGTTTAACGATGAATCCGCATAGCGATGGGTTTTTTGATCACAAAAGTGATTGCATAACGATGTTTTAAATGGGAAAACATCGCTTTGCTATGATCAGTAAGCGTTTCGCTTCACTGATTTTCGCATAACGATGTTTTTTTAAATAGCTGGTCGGCGGTTCCAAAATGGCCGCCAGGTAAAAAATGGCCACCCGCAGTGTTTTTGCGCCCTTTCCTCGCTTACCGGGCAGTGAAAACAGTGGCCATATGGAGGATTTCTGCATAACTGTGAGTTTTTTGCCCATAGGAATGCATTAAACGTGTTTTAATGCGTTCCTATGGGCTTTTTTGCCCCGCATAGCAACGAATCCGTATAGCGATGATTTTTTTGGAACGGATTATCGTCGCTATGCGAGGCGCCACTGTAGTTTGTTGAGCTTTGTTCCTTTTCTATGGCAAGCAGAAACAAGATTTAAAAAAAAAATTATAATCAATTTTTATATAAATACAAACATCCTTTCTTCTATATCACGACTGTACCGTACATTATGAATGGATGCCATTTCTAGAAGAGAAAATTTTAGGGTCTCTACTTATTATTTTGACAGATTACATCTATAAATGTGTACTATTTCAAATATATTTTAAATCACTATGGGTGGTGAAGGGGCACCTGATTAGTGTCATTTTTGCTACAAGCAAAATGTCCTATTTGTGTCCTGTAACAGACTTCCTCAATACGGTGACCTCCACATGCATTGGACTACAACTTCCACCATCCCCAGCCAACATGCCTAATGGTAGCTGTGTTGAAACACGATGGAAAAGCACCATATTGAGGAAAGCTTTTACATAACAATAGGCTTCACAGTTCAGCCTTGTGGAGGAACATGAACCAAAAGAAATTTCTCCAATTCAGTATTTAAAGTTTCCCACGTTATTTTGTTCCCTACAAAAATTTTGAGTGGGCTTTTGGAATGCAGATTCTATAGAGGCCTAGTTACAGTCAAATGATCCAACTTTTATGTATTCACCTGGCTTTGCTACCTTGTGTGTATCATTCAATGTGGCATATTTTAAAAAAAGCATTTCCTTTTCTCCACCAACCCCAGGATCTCCACTGAGCAGAGGCTCTTCTTACCAAGAGACAGAGACTGATTCATCTGGAGCCCCTCTACTGAAAGTATATTGCTGAGAAGTCTAATTATGGGGTGTGCAGGAGCCAATGAGGCCGTTGCGCAAGTTCCTGTTTTGTAAACGATGAGTATGATGCCACTTGATTTTGTCTGTACAGTCTTACATTTTAACTTGAGATTTAAAAGACCCTGAAAGAGAGGTGGCAAAGATGTACTCTAAAAGCGAAACAGCAAAAAATAGACACTGGTCCACAGCAGGAATGAGTGGTACCTTTTGGAGAATGATGGATTCTTTTGCAGTCTTTCAAGTTTGATTCTGCTGTAAACTTGCTTTCGGATAATCACTTCGTGCCTTATTTTCTCTTCCAGTACTCAAAATATTAACTGCAATATCATGTAGCAATGATTTCCCCCCCATGTGGCCTTCTATGGGTTAATTCCAAAGCCAAAGGACTTGAGAACTCTTGCTTTACAAGATCTTGTCTTGAATTGCTTCAACATGATGGTGCTTGATGATATTGAAGCCTTGTTCTCACAGCTGCCATTTCTGTGGATTCTCAAAGCGCCTTATCTACTCTTTGGATATGCTGCGTCTTGAGAGCAAGGGATAGCAAGTCAGTCTTCAAGCAAGATATATTCTGGGGCCATCTTCCAGACGATTGCAGCTAATATAATCCAAGCCAGTTGGAACCAGCTGCAAATGAACTTGGCAAGACCTGGCTTTTTGTGGACCATGATCTGGTTCTTGTAGAACATTGCTTCAGTTAACTGCCAGCCATCATTCAGAGTTAAATATTGCAATTGCAGTTAGTTCCATATTAGTCACTGGGCAGAATCAGAGTGATTGGGTTTTGGATTGCGATTGACTATCCTAGGATGTAGCTTTAACTGCAGCTGCTAGTTCCTCCTTGTTATCTCTCCCTTCCTCACCAGAGTCTTGGCCAGTAAGATAAGGAGCTGGTTTATACCCAAACGAATCATAGTTTTCATTGTAAATGGCACGTTCCAAAATGCCTTGGAGAAACTCCCCTGATAAGGATTTCTTTTCCTTTTATGGGAAGGAACAAGGGGTTTTGAAATAGGTGAGAAGGAATTTGCTTTATATCTAGAAAAACAAAGTGGTTTAAAATCTATCCAGTTCTTTTATCTACTTCTGAAGAACAATGAGAACTGTAGTTGCAGTGATCATCTTAGCTAGCTCATTAGTTCCCAACATTAAAATACCCAGGCTCCTCAGCTGAGAACTATGTATACCTGAAGCCAGATCGTAACTTGTTTTTAAATTTATAGTGCAGCTGTGCCAGACAACTCCTGACAGAGGACATGCCTTTCGTGAAAACTGTGCCTTCAGCTTTGTGCCTCAGATCAGTTTTGCTTCTGCTTAAAATAACAGAAGAGACTGAGGTATAAAATGAACTGTTCTGCAATTGGTCTTGGTTTCACCAACCTCCGGATTTCACCCACCATCACTGTATACTTAAAAGTGGTCTGTGGAGCTGAATCTGTACATAAATCTGATCTTTCCTGGCACTGCTTTCCTGGCACTTCCTGGCACTCTGTGGAGCTGAATCTGTACATAAATCTGACCTTTCTTGGCACTGCTTAAGCTTTAGAATAAAGTTGCTTGCCACTATGAGAAGGACACCTAAGAAAATGAAATGTACATAGTGCATATATAATAGTACAGCATTGTTGTTTGATGGAAACCCTACCCTCACAAAGAAAAAATAAAGGAGAGACTTTCCTTGCGCCTGAAAGCCACAGTCCCACCCAGCAGTGATGGTGGATGTTCTGACATTTGTGTGTTGTTTGTTGCAGTGCCTCAGAGCTCATGGAAACCATTAAGATCCTGGTTTCATTACTTGGGAGATGGGCACAAACCGGGGGGGGGGGGGAGAAACACGAATGGGGCTGGTTCATAGTTTGGTTCGCGGATCCCATTTTATCAAAATGAAGCACCAAACTTTTTTCTGCTTGGTGCCTTGTTTTTGGCAAAATGGATGCCACGCCCCCTTCCCACTGTCCCAGTTGCTTTGTCTACCTGGTGCTGCCACCTCCTTCTCTTCGCCCTCCACCACTGCCCTCTTTAGAGACAGACTGCCCGGCTCCTGTCTGTCTCTAAAGATGGCTGCAGTGGAGGACGAAGAGGAGGAGGTGGCAGGACCAGGTAAGTAGGCAATGGGGACAATGGGAAGGGGGTGGGGCATTCAATTTGCCAAAAACAAGGCAGGGGGGTAGAGGCCTTGGGTTCCTGTTCCCTAGGCACGGCCTGGGAAAAAAACGAACTATGAATGGGTTCATTTTTCTGGGGTTTGTGGGCGATTCATGCTTTATGGGTCACTGTGAACCACTCTGATTCATCATTCTTCCAGTTTGTGCCCATTTCTCCTAAAAAGTCCTGTAATTCTGCATACCGCTTTGAAGCTCTTGGGAATGTGTTCGTTTTGGGAAGGGAGAATGTGTAGTCACCTTCCTCAATTGCTGATCAAGCCAAACGACCAAACCAGGTGGAAGCTCTCTCTTTCCCTTGCTAAAGTCTTGCCATACGGGAGAACCTATATATGCATTTTCCCCCCTGCATGAAGCTACAGAGAAATTATTTGGCTCCCAATAATTCCTTCAGATTATTGATGGGAGACCTGTCATTTATTCATCCTCAGACTGAACTCTTTCCCGATCACTGCTGCCGCCTGATTGTCTCCCAATCCCAACTTTAAATGTGCACTTTGAATTGTGCTTAACATTGCGAGATGCTGTACTGATATTCCACAATTCTTGTTGCTGCTGCTTGTGCATTTTTCTTTCTTGAATTATCTTAGCCTGTGTGAAGGAAAGGTTTTGAAATACAGAGTGTAGTGGGAAGTTGTTACTGAATCTTGGGTTCCTTTGTGTTTTTGCTTTTTTAAAAATAAAATAGAAAATCATCCCTTTTGTTTAATAACGAAACTGTGTTTTTTTATTAAAACTGCTTGCGTTCTCTAGCAAAGATGTTTTCTGAATCATGCTGCCTAATTCATACAAACGTTTCTTAAAGCTTTCCCCATATTAAAACCCCACTTGCAGGAGGTACCTTGCTTCCAATGTAAGAGAAACAGTAGCTGTAGGGCAGATGCAGGAAGGTGTGCTGAATGAGGCCAAAGCACCTGAAATCCTAGTATTTCCCACTGTGGCTGGCCAAAGAGCTCTGGAAGGGCCCCGCACAGGGAGTCAGGCAATAGCCCTCTCCTGTTCCCAAGGTCCTCATGGACATCTTACCTGTGAGAAGGGAAGCTTCATACAGCCGTAATGATTACTGGCTATTGCTGAATCATCTTCTCCATGCATTTATCTAATCCTCTTTAAAAAGTCATTGTAAAGTATTTGCGAAGGCTTTCACGGCTGGGATCTAATGTTTGTTGTGGGTTTTTCGGGCTCTTTGGCCATGTTCTGAAGGTTGTTCTTCCTAACGTTTTGCCAGTCTCTGTGGCTGGCATTTTCAGAGGACAGGAGTCAGCACTCTACTCCTGTCCTCTGAAGTGGCCGGCCACAGAGACTGGCGAAACGTTAGGAAGAACAACCTTCAGAACACGGCCAAAGGGCCCGAAAAACCCACAACTACTCGAAGCAAATTCCACCAGTGACACAAAGGGCCCGAAAAACCCACAACAATCATTGTAAAGTATTGGCTGTCTCTTTGCCTACTCGAAGCAAATTCCACCAGTGACAAAAATAATTGCTTGGAAGCCCTAAGAACCCCTGCCCTGTTTTTGTAGTCCCAGTGGTAGTGGTGGCTGTTGCCCATTGAGAATGTCCAGTGGAAAGGAAGCCAAATCTATCACTAGGTGCAGCTGACTAACTCTCATTTTGTTCCCTTCCTCCTCCTTTGCAATTACACTGAAGTAAAGCTTCTTAACTGCTAACAGAATACAATAGTTTTTACACTGGTTTAGGATGATTCTGTATTCTTGTATCTGATACTCTCCTGGGAGAAAATGTGGGCTCTGTACCTTCCCTAGTCACCGAACAGGAGGGGGTGGTGTATCACTTGCCCTTACAGATCAACCACGTGGACTAGAGATGAAGGCTGAAGCATCCCAGATGACTGCCTTTGCACAAAAGGCCACCCCAAAAAACTGTACTTGATATTTCATCCTGTAAGCACATGCTGTACCTTCAAGTGAAAGAAAGGGCTGTGTTGATTCCATAACTTTGCCGTTCAGTTGCAGAAACTGATTTTAGACATGCATTTCATTGCCTTGCATAGCTCTTAGCCTTTCCTCCTGCAGAAATCTCATCTGGGACCTCATGTTGAGCCTTGGTGATGCACAGAGCATCCTGCAGATGGACTACGAGATTGGGAGTTACTTGCCCCATCCTATCCTACGCCTAAATTCCAAATTTGGAAACAGTCCCACTAGGATGGCTGTGTCTTCCACTTCAGAGGGAACAGTGTTCTACATGAAGGGCTATTAGAAGACCATCTTCTGATTTGAGGTTTGTCCAGATGTGTTTAAAGAGAGAGAAGCATAAGAAGGGAGAACATGGTCCACGGAATTGCTCATCAGCACACAACAGTGAGAACGCCGACTGAGTGGGCAAGGGGCAGGCACTCTGATCATAGTCTCCCCCACAAACATGAAATACATTGTCTGTCTTTTTAAAGTATAGGCATTATTTCCGATTTGTACCTATATATATATAAATAGATTAGAATACACAAATTTGATGCAAATTTGTCCTTTTGTTGTCCCTTCTTCCTTTTGTGAAGGAGTGATGTGTAAGTGTCTACACTGATGGGGAATATCCCTCTCCCCAATTCCAGGAGGAAAGTTGTGCTCTGAAGTTGCTCTAACTTCCACAGAAGTACTATGAAAGAAAAACCCTAATCCCCCCTTTTCAACTTCAGGAGTAATACTGGGTCTTGGCCGCACTCACCAGAGTGGGAGCCACGTATCCCCTCCGTGGACCTCTCTCTATGTACAGCAATCATTTTCTGATTCCAAGTTTTTGACTTTCTTTATAAAGCACCATCTTCATTTTTCTTGGGTTAGTGTGTGCTTTTGAGCAGCTGTTGCTTCAGTGCCTCTTGCAGCCACTGCTGTTGCCATCTCACTGAACAACAGCTGCAAAAGGACACCACCAGGACTTAGATGGCCATCGATTCTCATCTCCATATTGTGCCGTGAAATTTGCTGGATGACCCAGAGCCAGCATTTCCTCTTATTTTAACCTACCCCATAGGCTTAAAGGATAAAGTGGGGCAATGTAGACCTCCCCACATTTATTGGAGGGACGATGAAATATAAATGTAACTAATAAATGAATTAGGGTATACAGTACATAGAGGGAGGGAATAATTGCCCTGTAACCCTGCAACAGAGTCAACAGCAAAGGTGAGCAAGAGCTGTTATTTTGTTTGTCCATGCTTTTTCTTTAAAGTAGTGTGCATTTGTTGAAGGAAATGCAGCGGTTTGGTCTGAACATGGCCACAATGGGTTAAAAATCCTTTTGCTTTTGTATCAGAGAACTGATAGCTTCAGGGGAATTAAGAGGTTAGACTGTGCTGGACTTGAAGGACCAGTTCTCCCAATGCTATGTTGCTAGAAGGAAAATCTACTCTGTCACCGCTAGAGAAGAGAAATTCCAAGCTTTGTCCTCCAATCTTCTCCACCCCTTCTTTCTGTAATTATGCTTGGGCTTGATGTCAACATTCTACAGAAATATGGTGGCAAAGCAGAACCCCATCCTCTTGAATTGCATGTGGGGGTTGTGCTTCAATGCTTGTCAATTTTTTTAAAAGGACTATTTTAGACTGGCTCTTTTGGATGCACTATTTTTCTTGACGTGAGGGAAGAACACATTTGTCTTAAAGCAAGCTGAGTGGGAGTACCTGGATCAGGCATACAGTTCCCCACAAGAAGAGCTAATTTGCATGGCCTTTGCCTTGGGCGGGCTACACAGCCCCGGGATGCACCCAGCAGAAGGAAATGGTAAACCACTTCAGGGTATTTGATACCTAGGAAATCCTGGGAAGGGTCACCATACGTCACAATTAGAGATGGGCATTTGGTGGTTCAGCCCAGTTCGTTTCCCAGGCAAAAACAGGTCATTTGTGGTTTGGTGCCCACGTTGTCCTTGTCTGTTATCACTGTTGTTCATGCTGCTACATTATTGTTGTTGGTATGCAGTGTGTGTGACACAGCTTGTTGCCTTTTTTTGTGTTAAATGCTCATTCCTTGGCTATCTTTCCTTGCTTTTATTTATACCCTTATCTCCCCTTCATCAACCATCAGCAGTCTTTTCTGTTGAGCCTGGAGGTACAAGGGCCTGGTGCACCAACAGAAATTTTATAATATGAACTTCTGTTGTTCTTGCATCTCCTCTGCTTCCAAGGGCTTGTAACTCATAATCTGGCAAGTTACCATTGTGATGATGAGCATTATTGTTGTGACAAATTCACAAAGCCTGGAGGGAAAAAAATCTTGTAAAATAAAGGACCTGGTACACCGAGATACTGTAAAATCAGAGTATAGTAGTTACAGGAAATGCAA